GAAAATTGGTCTTAATATATCAGCATCCTTTCTCAAATTTAAATCCCATGGCCAAATCGGATTGAAATGTACAACTTGCATTAGTATTTCACATGCGGCGAGCCTGTCTTCCCACCCCCAAGTCATAACATCAAAATTCCCAATTTAGGGCCTGAAGAAGGGCCTGGTTGTATCATTATTCATGAGTGATTATTCAGCCCTACATATGTTTGACCATGTGGGGCAAACACGTGGTGCTAGGATTATTCTTCCAAACTCCAGCTTCTGTAGAAGGATAAGTACAAAGTCTAAAACATTGCTCTCGTTTTAACTATAAAAAAACCCCAAGGATTTGTATGTAATCTCAATCATCATAAAGTGACAATTTAGATGATCTCTTGAAGGGAAGTAATCAACAAATCCCTTCATATACACACACTCCCCCAATCTTAAGAACAAAAAAAGCACATCAAAAAGTAAGAAAAGAACATAATAAAGGCCCAAAATCAATGAAATAGAAGACATAAAGTGTACAGAGAAAATCAAATAAAACAAAAATAAGTTCTTTGAGGTTATCAGTAAGACGGGTAAACCTTGAGCCAGACTAATACAGAAAAAGAAAAGAGATCCAAGGATGATTCTACAGCTATTAAAATGATAATAAGTAATAATAATAGCAAGTTTATATCAAAACATTTGACAACTTAGAAGAAATCCAAATTCCCAGAAAGCCACAAACAACCAAAGCTCACTCAAGAATACTGAATGGATCGATATCCATTAGAGAATCTTCCCAAAGAAGAAGATTCAGGCTCAGATGACTTTGCTGGTAAATCAGCCAAACACTTAGGAAAGAAATAATCCCAACTCTATAGAAACTCTTCCAGAAACCGTAAAAGGAAGGAATACAATGAACCCTCGTTTATCGCGGTTAATCGGTTCTAGACCCTACCGTGATAAATGAAATTCTGCGAAGTAGGATTCCTTATATCCAAAAGTTTTACCTTTTCCTGGATGGTGAGCATCTTCCTCTGGCACTTATTTTTATTGTCAGAAGGCTTAGAAGAAGAAGCGCGTTTAGGAGCCATCATAGGGCTTAGATAAAATTTCTTAAAAAACGCAAACAATTACAGTACACTGTACAAAAGCAAAAATGCAACTGATACGTAGCTCCGATACGTAGCGATGCAGACAGAAGCGTGTACAGTATGAGCCAATCAGTGGCAGTAATGACAGAGCATGCGCTGTTACGCAAAAACCGCGATAGAGTGAAGCCGCGGAAGTCGAAGCGCGAAGTGGCGAGGGTTCACTGTACTTCCAACTCATTCTGAGCGCTCACATGTACTCTGATACCAAAACCAAAGACTGAAAATCCCAGATGAACAATCACGCACAAGCATAAAGTGTTGCAAAATTAGTGTGTGGTTTTGAGGACTAAGGTACGGCTGACCCAAGCCATATTTTAATTGCCCCATATGCCTGTGAAATGTAGACAAAAGGAAATCGATGTATTTGAACTACTGTGTCGGTACTGAAAGTACCATGGACTGGCAAAAAGAACAAACAGATCTGTCTTGGAAGAAGTACAGCCAGAATGTTCCTTAGACACAAGGGTGGTGAGACTCAGCCCACATACTTAGTCCCTGGAGAAGGACTAAGTATGCTTTGTAACGTGGAGGGCCAGGAAGAAGAGCAAGGCTCTCGATGCGATGGACTGACACAGTGGCTGCTACAATGGACTCACACAGAAGAACAAATGTGAGGATGGGGCAGTGTTTTGTTCTGTGTACACAGGCTCGCTCTGAGAGGGAACCAGCTCCAGGGCACCTAACCACAACAGCAAGGCAAAGACGCCTTCCGGAAACTTCAACACATAAATCCAACAGTATGTACCAAAGGATAGCAGAACATGGCCAACTGACGTTACCCCAAGAACAAGAGGTTGATTTAACAGGAGACGATCAATGTACTCAGCATATTAACAACAAAAACCATTTGAATATTTCAAGTTGCCAAATCCGTTATAAATCCCTGGCTTTAAAAACAAAAAAAACTCTCAGGAAACTAGGAATGAAAAGGAGCATCCTCAATCTGAAAGAGGGTGTCTATGGGAGACATGACAGCTAATAGCACACTAACAGTCTGCCCCAAAGAGTAAGAAGAAGCCAAACGCCTGCTCTCATTAGTTCTACTCAGCACTGAACTGCAAACATTAGCCAGTAGAATTGCCAGATTTTACCCTACTTAATTACCATAAGCCACACCCACCCAATAAGAACAGCTAAAAGGCTGTTGTGGTTGAGTTGATTCCAACTCAGGGACTGTTTCAACTCACGGACCGCCACAGCTAAGGAGCTGATAGGTTTGAACCAGCCATCTTTCAGTTAGCAGCCGAGCACTTAACCCTGCACTACTAAAGTTCCTTGCTTACAAGCCAAGAAGCCATTATCTCATGGATGCTAGTGGTAGATGACACAAGACTTCTGGGTCAAACACAAAGAATGTTATTCTCCATAACACAGCAGACAACATGTATGTCAGATTAGCATCCCTTTCTCATCGCCCTCAACATCTCACAGGGAGACCTATAGGGACCAGCAAGAAACAACTAGAAATACGAATTTTAAATGTTCATAACAGAATCAATAAATATAAAATGCTTCCAAAAATTTGAATATATCTCCTGTATACTGAAGGCTACTACAAAACACTGAAGGAAATACTCAGACCTAAATAAATGGAGAAATACGCAGCTCAAATGCATTCTTGTTGGTAGTCCTCAAAGTGATCCACAGATTAAACATGTTCCAGATAAAAATCTGATTAGGGTTTGTTTTTAGAAATCAAGAATCTGATTCAAATATTCTGGCAGAATTGCACAGCATGTAGAATCACCAAAACAACTTTGGAAAGAAGAACAAAGTTGGAGGACTTACATGCCCTGGTTCAATGTACCATACAGAGGTAATCAAAATAGTGCTGGACAAATAAAGATATAGCAAATGGGTCAAGGAAACAGGATTCAAAATCCAACTCTAGATCCACACTTGAACCACAGTGGTGGTTCAATCATTTTCAAAAAAGGTGGAAGGCCATTCCTTGGAGGGTCAAGACCAGAGGTCCTCAAACTTTTTAAACGGGGGACCAGTTCACTGTCCCTCAGTCTATTGGAGGGCTGGACTATAGTTTAAAAAAAAACTATGAACAAATTCCTATGCACACTGGACAAGTTGCTGCTAAGCAGGACAGGCAGCAATGGCACAAACACCAGGCGGGCCGGATAAATGTCCTCGGCAGGCCGCATATGGCCCGTGGGCCATAGTTTGAGGACCCCTGGCCAAGACTATTCTTTGCAAACAACAGACTTCAGCAGATCATTTGAGGAACAAATAGTACAGGAACAACTAAGTACACATAAGTCCAAAAAAAAAAAAAGGAAGAAAGAACTTTGATCTACATATCATACTGTACACACAAAATTACCTCAAAATGGATTATGGTCTTAATGTATAACCTAGAGCTATCAGATTTCCAGAAGACACGCAGAAAGAATATTGTCACCTATTGTTAAGCAAAGATTTATTCAATTTGATACCAAAAGCAAATTACATAAAAGGAAATGGTGATTAAATTAGACTTCATCAAAGTTAAGAACGCATCCTCAAAAGGCACTGTTAAGAAAACACAACAATAAGCCATGGATGGGGAGAAACTATTTGTAAATCACCTGTCTGATGGAGGACTTAAATCAAGACAATATGAAGAAATCTCAAAATTCAGTAGGAAACAAGCAAGTCAATAAAAATAGGGCAAAGGATTTCAACTGACACTGCATCAAAGACGACATATGAGTGACAAATAAACAAATGAAAAGGTGCCTAACATCTTTAGTCACTGAGAAGATAACAAATTAAAACCACCATGAGAAAACACTAAGCATCTATTAAAAAGACTGACCATACTGAGTGTTGACAATGATCTTGACAATGCCACTGCTAGTGACAATGTAAACTGGGACGACCACTTTGGAAAACAATTTGGCAGCTTCTCAAAAGATAAAATACATCTACCATATGATCACGTCCTCCATTTCTCAGCATCTCCCTGTGGGTAATGAAAGCATTTATCCAATCAAACACTTGTACACAAATGATCATACAGCTGGTTGATTTTTAATTGGCTGGAACTGAAAACAACCAAATGTCCACCAACGAGTAAACAGATAAAGTGTGGTAGAGACACACAGCAAAGTATTCCTCAGCAATAAAAAGGAATGAATTCCTAAATACATGAAACCAACTGAATCAATCTCAAAATAGCTGCACTGACCAAAAAAAGCCAGGCTATAATGCGTACGTACAGAGTGTATGGCTCCAACTGCTTAACATTCTAGAAACTGCGAGACGGTTGACAGGGAAAGACAGGAGATAGGTGGTTGTTTGCGGATGGAGAGAAGGAGCCATGAGCGTTCACAGGGAGATTACAAGGGGTTGACGGTCTTTGGCATCATGATGGTGGTAATGGCTTTGTGGATCTGTGCGTACGCCAACCCAAATCAAATTACATGCTTTTGTTTGCTGCATGCCATCTCAAATAAGCTGTTTTTCAGAAACGTATTTTTAAAACCAAAAAAAAAAAAATCACGTATCCCAAATAGTCTCAGGAAGACCTAGTATAAAACTGTAGCATAAGCTGCGAGATTTTAGCAGTAAACTTGTTACACAAAATCTCTGAACAATAGTACTACCACTTTATGTTGCCAGCCGTCGTCAGAGCTAATTAGCTTCTTTTCGAGCCTAGTTAGAGAAAATGGGCATTCTGTATCTAAATAAATCCCTTACCCTCAGCCACAGAGGTACCATTCATTCCCTGAAGCTTCAATTTTCCCTAATCTTGTTTTTCTACTCTGTCTTGAAGAAGCTTTAAATAGAGAAATCCAAACAGGAGTCCTTTCACTGGTCCAGAAATTCGAGAAGTGCTCTAGCTTTGTGGCCATCACCACTCCTGTTTCCCACACTCACCTGAGCTGGCTTGCTGCAGGTGACGCCATGAATCTCCAAGTAGCTGAAGGTTAACTCGAGCTGCAATCGAGGGGGGAGGAAAGAAAGGTCTGTAATGAGGATTTTTAAAACATCAAATCCCAGTTAATTTTTTAAAAATGCTACAATTACAAACAGCCAAAGATCAGAGAAGGTCTTGGTCATTTTCTGAAGTTAGGCTTGTTGACTGTCTCCACTCATTCAAAGGGACACGATCGCAACAATATCTTTGCAGGAAAAGTAGTACTCGATTTACTAAGAGACCGGCAGGAAGTGGCATACCCGATTTTTCAAATGCCATCTAGGGACAAAGCCAACTGAGAGTTTTTCCACTTCGACTCTAGTATTTATTCTTGGAGAAATGAATATATTAAGTGAACCATATAAATACACTTTAAATTTTTTTTTTAATATCACACACACCAATACAAAAATCAATTCACACCTATCGAGTTGATGTGAACTCATAGCAACCTTATAAGGCAGGGTAGAAGTACTCCTATGAGGTTCTGAGACTAACTGTTTATAGGCGTAGGAAGCCCTGTCTTTCTCCCTAGGGCAAAATTACTGTTGGCATCCCATATTTCTAAACCCTTGTATCTCCTTGTGTTACAATCGGAGCACTCACTGGAGTTATTTGCCATTTCTTCTCCTCCTCTCCATTGAAAAATCATATTAAATCGCTTGCATCTAGAGTCTAGCTTCTAAACAACTAGAAGCCTGAGGAAGTTAAAGCTGTGCTTACATGGAACACAAAGAAGCTAAGCAGCAACCCTTCTATTTGTCAATAAAAGACTCGGTACTTCCTTCCTACTTTAATAAGTGTTTCTTCTTCTCTTCTCCTGTCATCAGCATTTCTTGGAAATCAAACATCTCTTACTATTTGTGTATTTTTCCTGGATGGTGGCCACTGAGGCCCCCAGGTTTACTCCCTTTCATCCAACAATAGCTAATAGTCACTATACATGGAATTTGGAAGGAAGGAGGCAACTGAGTTGGACCATTCTTTTACTCTGCCATATTAAACCTAGAAATGCAATAGAAAAAGAAGGCCATTTAGAACCAAATGCACAAGGGTCTTAGTTCTGCCCCGTGGTGGTATGTTATACTATGATAGATGGGATAGCAGAAAGCCCTCCAGCTAAGTAGCTGGAAGATAAGGGGATTAAAGACTGGAGGTTGGAAGAGGCTTCAGTCTTTCATAATTCACTTGCTCAAACGACTGTCACTTATGGAAGGCCTGTTAAGCACCAGCACTGGAAATTTCAAAAGGAGTGAGTCGTGTCCCCTGACCCCCAAGAGCTAAGGGCAGGGATATTGTTGCTGTGGTGGTTAGTTGTGGTGTCGATCTCGTGCAGAAAGCCACTCGGGGGTCTTCAAGGCTGTGACTTCTGGGAAGCATGGTGCCTGGACTGTCTTCTGTGGGGTTCTGGATCAGTAGGAACCGCCAGCTTGGCCCGCAGACTTCTAGCATTTGTTTGCACTAGCAGGGAGTCACTAGCTGTAGAACAAACAGATTTCTCTTGGGAAAAAGTGCAGCCAGCATGCTCCTTGGATGCAAAGATGCCGAGCCTTCGTCCGGTGAGCTTTGGACATGTGATCAGGAGAGCAGTCCCTGGAGAAGGACACCGTGCTTGGTCGGTAAAGTGGAGGGGCAGCGGAAGTGAGAAGGAGGCTCAGCACGATGGATTGGCACGGTGGGTAGAACAAGGGTCTCAAACAGCACAGTTAAGCGGATGGCGCAGGACCGGGCAGTGTTTCATTCTGTCGTACGAGGCTATGAGGGAAGCCAACTGAAGGCACCTACCTAACAACAACAACTATACATGGAGGTACCATCTGTTCATCTGCTTGTCTGCTAGCCACAGGGTTGAAAGTTCCAGTCCATCAGAGGCATCTTAGAAGACAGCTTGGAAAATCTCCCAGTGACAACTCGACAGTTCAGCTCTGATGCCACGAGTGAGAGTCAACTCCATGGCCACGGGCCGTTGTTGTTTTTGTTGGTTTGCTTTTGACATGAGATCCGAGTGTTGGGCACATGCCTTCGGTCACCACCAAAGCCTTGCGACATTTCCACCACCAGGCCCTAAAACGCAGCTTCCAGTTTGTCAAGCAAAAGGGGGTGGGAAGGAATCACCAGGCCAGAGAAAAAACAGGAGGCCGGAGAGCATTAAAGGACAAGGAGGAGACAAAAACTAGAGGGGTGGGGCTGTGCCCACTCAGTACATTATAACGTATTGATTCTAGCTGCTATAAACAAATCTGGAACACGCCAGTGACCGCCGTTGGGCCTATCAATCAATTAGGGGCCGAGGAGGGGCTGTCTGTGATCTGAGTTCTGGTTATTATTAAGAGTGGCAGAGGGGTCTCCGTGGCACACCGGGGCAGGTTCCAATCATCCTCATCTCACCAAGGGCCTCTGCTCCGAGTGCCCTGACACGTTGACCCTTTCCGTACTCAATGGACTTGACTGACTCCCAGTGAGCCCCCAGGACAGCGCAGAACTGCTTCATAAGGCTTCCAAGGTAGAAAAGCCTCACAGAAGCAAACGGCTTCCTCCTTCTTCCAAAGAGCGCCTGGGAGGGTCGAACATTTCAGGGAGCAGGGAAATGCTTCAGTCCCCCTCACACCACCTCCACCTCGGTGGTAGTCTGAAAGAATCAGCAGATCAGATGTGTGGGGGTGGGGGTGGGGGGTGGGGTGGGGGCAGGAAGAGTAGGTAAGAGGCTGAGACAAAAGCAGGCTTCAAGAAGACCTGGGAGACATTTCAAAGACAGAACCACCCAGATTAGTGGCTACAGGAGATACGAGGATCAGCCCTGACTATCTCCAGTTGTTCCCCAGGCACGCACTCACCCCCCCGCCCCAAAGGCAACAGAGTATGGTAAATCTAACCGTGCTTCCCAATTCTCCTGCTCCAACTCCCACTGAGTCACCAGCCACAACTCGTCTGCAAGGCGGGGGTCCTCTCTGTATTTCCAATGGGCTGCTCCCCACCACAGCACCCGCCCCCCAACCCTCAGCCCACTCCAGTTCCCCAAATGCATCATGCTCCCTTGTACTGATAAACCTTTGATCCGGGCCTTGTACTGATAAACCTTTGATCCTGGCAAGTGCCTTATCTGCCAGGCCTATGTCTGGCAAGTCTTCCACCCAGCTTGCCCTGGAGCCTTCCTTGATCTGATAGACACAGTAGGGGCTTTCTGGGGAGATAGCTAAGGTTCCTGGTGATCTGGGCATTTGCTCTGGGGTTAAGGATGGCAATAAACATTTCTGGTTTGCCCACTGGCTGCTGGAAAAACACGATCTTGGCACGGCTGCCGGGCTCGGCTTGGGGCTCAGTGCTCGCTGTGGTGGGCTCTCGCTTCCTCTCTAACCCGCTGCATCTGCTCACCAGCAATGAGGGCTCAGAAGATGAGCAGGAGGGTGTGGAAGAAGGAGGCAGAGAATGGAGGAGATGCACCCACTAATGGGAGCGCTAGTGAGGCAAACAGGGAACATGCGGCTGACCGTGAGGTGGAGGAAAAAGAGACAGAAGACTAGGAGGAAGAGCAGGGGGAAGAAGATGATAAAAGCAGAAAGGGACAAAATTAACCACTACCTTCAAGTTGATTCCAACTCAGAGCATCAGAGTAGAACTGCCCCCGTAACTCTTTCCCGGAGCAGCCAGCCTCAACTTTCTCCCATGGAGCAGCAGGTGGGTTTGAACCATCGACCACGTGGTTAACAGCCCAACCTGTAACCCATTACTCCACCAGGCGCCTTTTAAAAGTGTGATCATGAAAACGAGGCAGGGTCAACTACTGGCAAGCAGCATTAAAATTTAAAAAATGCAAGGCCATTATGAGCTATCCACCCGCCATGTCCCATCTCAGAACTGGATATGACATCTCAATTTTCAGTTGAGGGTCCCACAGGCGCATTTGGGCAGTGCCGCCTACCGACCATAGGCCTCTCTACCACCCACCCCAAACCAAAGGTAAATTGCAACAGGGGAAGAAAAAGCGACCCACACTTTCTTGGGGCTTTCCCCCCTTGCTTAAAAGCACCCTTAAATGACGATTTGGTTTGTGCTATTTGTTTGCTTTACTTCGTTTATCTTCCTGTGCACACTGTTAGGGTCTGCCGTTTTTAATGGCCCAGGCTGACCAAGCCAGCCTTCCAAGCAAGCTCTGTGCTATTACTTCTGACTTTACATGTGGTCTCACTGCTCACTAGTCTCAGGGGTGGGGTGAAACTTCTTTTTTTAAAAAGAGCAGAAATAACAACAACAAAAACCATCTTACTCTTAACATTCCAGGAAAATGTGTGTGTGTGTGTGTGTGTGTGTGTGTGTGTGTGTGTTTACTTAGCTGCACTCTACGTAGTTGTTTTGTATGAGGTGGCTATAAAGTCCAGGGACAATAGGTTTTATTTCCCTTTTTTTCTCCATGAAATTATTGTTTGTTTTTTTTTTATTTGGCCTGCTTGATGTATGAAACAATACTGTCCAACAATAACCAGAACTTTATTTTGCTGAGTTGTTCTAACTGCAACAGAATGGTTTTGTGAACTTGATTGTATATATGGTGTATTTTATACTGAGAAGACAAGAAGCGGAGTGGGGGCAGACACACAGATGCGTAATTAATCATCCCCTCCAAAAGAGAAGGAACCTCTCGGTACCTGTTTTTCTGAATCTACTTATGTCCCTAGAAAATTAATGTCTTAGATGTTATGCTGCTTGAAAACTTCTCACTCAAGGCTGACCCTGGCACATGAACATTTACGTCCTCTGTGGGGAAACCCCATAGGAAGAAAGGTCTGGCAATCTATTTCTAATGCTCAGAATCGTGGATAGGGAGCCAACTATACATTGAAATACATGTCAACTACACAGTAACTGGCTTAGCTTTGAGGGTTTGTGAGGAGCTCACGGTGAGAGAAAATCCACAATATTTGTGATGCTGATCAGATCAGAACCAAGGTCCAAGCTGCCCTAGCCAGGTCTGACAGGGCCAGCATGAGCACAGAGGGGCAGCCAGGACCAGCCAGCAGAGGGAGATTGGAGATGTCCCAACAGGCCATTGGCCTTCCTCTGTGTCCGAATATATGCAATCAAGGGATTTATATGATTTAGGAGTCTTCGATTCAGTGGGTTGTTTGACTAAGCACAGAAGCCCATAAAATTCCCTCATACAATTAACTTTTCACCAGTGGGATAATGCTTAATCTGCTTCCTCAAATCCTGCCTTCAGATCTTCTAATATGTGTGGGTATTTCAGTCTGGCTTAATTTACATACTAATTGATTATATGTACAAACACATGGCAAACCTACAGATTTACTTTTTATTATGAAAGGGGGTGGGTACTAAATGTCCCATTCCTCAGGGAAACTTTCTAACTGTTAGTATGTGTATAGTCAGAAAGAAATGGCCGTCGGGACCCTAGGTCTGTAGCTAGTAAACTCTGGGTCACCACCTACCCAAAGTTCAGTGGCACTCACGCAAGTCAGTAGATGGCAAGCCCTGAAAACTGTAAGACAGCACACCCTGGCACATAGTAGGCATGCATAAAACTGGTGACTTTTCAGAAGCCAGGAAGGACTAAGGACATGAATAACTCACACTGCAACACAGCTGCCAGGGAACACAAAGGCTGGAAGTCCCCTCCAAAGGGTCCCCATTTTCCTGGGTCTTTGGGCAAAGGAGGCGGTCAGCACAGGAGAAAGCAGAGAAGCGTAGAAGGTGGTGATCAAATTCCTCTTTCTCCCCATCATTACTGGAAGTCCTTAGATCAGTCTACTTTTCATCTTTGAGCTGGTTCCTCCGATAGCTCATGTGCAAGGTTACTGGGATCATTGAGAGAATGTTCTTAAGAGATATTTAGTATAGACTAACTGCCAACAAGTCAATTCCAACTCACAGGGCAGAGCAGAACTGCTCGTGAGGCGTTATAGGATCAAAGAGCCTCACCTTTCTCCTACAGTATGGCTGGTAGGTTTGAACCACCAACCTTAGTGTTATCAGCCCAAACGTTAACTCTCTGCACTGAATTACAGTACTAACAAAGCAACTAAGGAAGGGTTTTTGCAGCCAGACCCTCTTGAAGAGAATCACACCACTGCCACACATCTATCTTCCCAAGAAACTCACTGAGTCTTTTATGTGCCTCAGTTTTCTCAACTGTAAAATGGGGACAGGATCACCCACAGGATTCCTTTACAGGTTATTTATTAAAACAATGCTCCCAAAATAGTAACCATCACCATCTTTCTGGAAAACCATGACCAACCTTTTTGGTCGCCACAGTAACTAGGGCGAAACAGAGGCAATTGCATATGCCTCATTCCTGAATTACCAACTTTCACATTTAGACCAAATAATACTGGACACGGGGCCATGGTTACAGTACTCAGTCACTCATCAGGTCAGTGGTTCTAACCCGCCAGCCACCCTGCAGGAGAAAGATGCGGCAGTCTGCTTCTGTAAAGATGTCGAGTCTTACACACCTTGTGGGGCCTAAAGGGTCAACATGAGTCAGCATTAGAGGTATGGCAGCGAGCTTGGGCATTTGTGTCGAGGTATGAAATATGTTCAATATTTCTCCTCTTTCAAAGGAGAAGGAGCCCTGTGCTTTTTTTAATAAGTCACACCAGAACAACGGCTGTCGGCAGTTACACTGATGCTAAGTAACGCAGTCTTTTAGAGTTTTGGCAGTATGCCCTGGGTGTCAAAGCCTTAGAAAAATGTGCTGTGACTGGACCTAGGGACAGAGGGATACCTGAAAAACGTAAAATGGAAGCTCTCCTTGGGAGATAAAAATGACTGGGATCCACTAGGCACTGAGACGGGGAGGAAACAATGCTTCAAATGCTCTGCTTGGGTTGCCTTCACACCAAGAGTAAAAAATATCAGTTGCTTAACCTTTCGATGCTCCCTGGGGAGAAGGGAGGATAATGTTCATGGACACTCACCTTGGTGGGGATTCGTGCGGAGACCAGGAAGGCTCGGCATGATGTGAGCACCTGAGGAAGAAAGGAAAAACCATGAGTCCAGGGACCAAAAGGTGAGACATGGAAGGCTTTGGGGTCATCGGCAGGACCTGGAGCATGGAAGTCAGGTAACCTCCCTTGAGAGGCCACCTGCCTTGGGTCTTTGTCAGGTTAGAAGGATATTTTAGAAGGATCCGAGGCCCTATGGAATCCGTGCTCTCTGAGAGTCGCTGTGAAATCTCAAGGCGAGCAGCCAGTCAGCAGTCCAAAAGACCAGCACATGATTTCAGTGGAGTCAGTGAGACGGTTCTCTGTGATATTAAAATGCGCACATCCATCTTCCACCTCGTCGCAAATCCCACTGTATCAGCAGCAGGCTTAGTGAAAAGGCCAGGTTCTCAATTACCTTCACCACCCACGCATGCCTTCCCGCTCTCTATGCTCGGTACACCTGCTGCTACCACTTTCCGGGAGTGCTGTCAGGAGAGAAACAAAAGGCGGCCGGCGGCAATTCTTCCAAGAGCTCACCGTCCAACTCTGCTTCTCCGCTGGGTCACACCCTCTGTCCTGGAGACAGCCCGGGTGCAAGGGGCCTTTTTGGAGAAGGCCCACATCAAGTGGGTGCCACCCCCCCAAATTTCTAAGAAGGTGGAAACAGCTTGACCTTCTAGTTCAAATCTACAGCACGACTCCCGGGCTCATGACCCGAGATGTCTCGATGTGTCCCTCAGCAGGTCGGGGCAGATCTAATGGACCACCTTCATAAGGAAAGGAGGAGATGCGGGTGCTTCCCAAGTCCTCAGGGGGAAACTGCCTTTTGTTATTTCCCCAAGAGCTCTATTGTCACTGAATACCTTCACAAATAATGCTGATGAATGCTAATACTCCTAAGTCAAAGTCACCGAGGTCGCAAGTAGTTAAAGGACTTACAGAGGTCACAGAGCTCTGCCCAGGCTACACGGGGCTGCAACTGTTAACTGGCGCCCATATCGAATCATTAGGCGGGGCTCTGGCCTGCTGGGTGCCTCTCCCTACCGGCTCTCGGGTAATAATAGACATCTTTCAAAACTCTACAGCCTGCCAACTTCAAGCAAAAACCATTGTTCATGGGGACTTCCAAATGCTTACAGGAAAATGGAATAAAAATAATGCAGTCCCTCATCTTTTCTATGAAACACCTCTGAACAGTAATGGATACGCAGTGCTGGGAATAATAGCTCAAACTCAAAAACCAACTCACTGCTACTGAGTTGATTCCAATGCATCGCAAACCTACAGGACGGGGCAGAACTGCCCCTATGGGTTTCCGAGATTGTGAGTGTTTATGGAGTAAAAAGCCTTGTCTTTCTCCCTCGGAGCGGCTGGTGATTTTGAACTTCAGCTGTGCCGTTAGCAGCCCAACTTGAAACCACTGTGCCATGCGGGCTCCTCTAGGAATAGTTCGAGGCATGATTACTTGTAAGACAAGATGAAGGAAAATCATCCAACATTGGGTGGGAGAGTCTGGGAAAGACCCTGCTCATTTCAAGCACGGCCATCCAAATGGCTTCAACCACAGCCATTCACAGCACCGACTTTGACCTGGCATCATTTTCTCTAGATTGTACAAGCTGACATGTTCTCGAAGGCCTTGAATAAGGAATTTCTAAATATATAGGTGGAGTCCCCGGGCTGCAAAACGATTTAGCACTTGGCTGCTAACTGAAAGGTTAGGAGACTTGCTTCTACAAAGGCACCACAGAAGAAAGGCCTGGTAGTCCACTTCCCCAAATGCGAGCTGTGCCAAGTCCTGTGGAGTGCAGTCCTTCTCCTCGGCCACACACAGGGTCACCGTGAGTCAAAATCCACTTGATGGCTGTGTTAGT